TTAAACAATGAATCTTAATTAATATAAAATACTCTCATTCTTTATTTTTTCGCATTTGTTCTGAAATCGAACACATCTCTTTCGGAGGTATCCTCTTTTAAAATTCTTTAGGATTTCTGTTTTTTAATTCGAAACAACTGTAACGACACTCTGGAATTTTGAAAATTTAAAAATATTTTTATTTGTAAAAATCAAAATCTATTTTAGTTTAAATTTGGTAAAATGAAAATTAAAATTTTTCCTAAAAAACTAAAAATATTTTTTTCTCTTAAAGTTATTTTCCAACCAATAATGGAATTTTTTTTTTATTTTTAAACACATATTATTTTTTTTTGATTTTGTGATTATAGGTTTTTGATTCGTTATTAATTTTAAAAGTAAAATTATATTAATTAATTTTTTTTTTTCAATATTTGCATTTTTAAACCCAATATTTAAACAAATTTTAGTAATTTTAGTAATTTCAAATATATTTTTAAGATTTAATTTTGTTAAAAGATCGTAAACAGTAATATTTTGATAATGATTTTGTAAATTTTTTTCCATAGATTTTTATAAAATATTTGAAGCTAATGATAATATTTTGAAATTTTTTTGTTTTCTAAATTCAGAAGTAATTGGACCGAAGATACGTGTCCCTAAAGGTTTATTTTGATTATTTAAAATAATTATACAATTTTTATCAAATTTAATTAAATTACCTATAGTACTTTTTTTTTGATATGTTGTGTGAATAATTAAAGCTTTAAATAAATCTCCTTTAATTATTTTAATTTTTTTTTTTTGATTTAAACGTAATTTTTTTGCAGAAATTAAAATTGTATCACCAATTTTTCCTACTTTTTTTTTATAAATTTTTAAACATTGTCCTATTTTAATACCGCTATTATCGTTTACTTTTAATTTAGTTTGAATTTGAATCATAAATTTTATTAATGAAATGATGAGAGCAGGACTTGAACCTACATCTTCAGATTATGAGCCTGATAAGTTACCTATTACTCTATCTCATCTTATTACCCATTTTCGGAAGAAAAGGATTTGAACCTTTGATCTTCTGTTCCCAAAACAGATGCATTAGCCAGACTATGCTACCTTCCGTTTTAAAATAATAATAATAATGGTATTTTTATTTAAGAAATAATAATGATGGTAGGATTTGAACCTACAACATTAGGATTATGATTCCCACGCTCTACCATTAAACTACATCATCTTATTAATTATTAAGAAAATAAGTCGAAGTGGGATTTGAACCCACGAGTTAATAAATTAACTGATAGTTTAGCAAACTACTGCCGTAAACCTGACTTGGCTATTCGACCTAAAATATAAAACTTCTTTGATAGGATTTGAA